AAGCATGTAAAAATGCAAGTAGAAAAATAGGAGCCACCTTTGGTGGGAAGGTAACAACATTCCATGCGCCTTCAATGTTTAGTCATGCCGGCCACATGACCACGGAGACATCTTCGGACAGCGTTGACTCTTTGGCTTTGAAACAGAGATAAGCACCACCCCCTAGAGTCGGGAACGACTAGCACATATGTGCAAGAGGACCTTTACCTATGACCTTGAAAGCCGCCTTGAGTCGCCATGTGCAAATAGGTGGCAATATACATTTTCTAAATAAATAGTCGTAACTATGAACTTTATTGCCAAGCATCTGAATTTTGATCGCCTGATCATGACGATACTGCAAAGGTCGTAAGTGTGAAATGTGGTCATAAGTCCCTTTTTTCAGTGCCCCTGTAACTTTGAACAGTCACTAAATGAACTGTTGTTAAGTCAACAACTACGTGTATTTGATATGCCCGGGTTAAAAGAAGTGGCATGCAAGTAATCCCAAATATATAAATAAGATGACCTCTCTAAACATCCCTCTGGCTGCTTGACCGTACACCAACTTACATTTGTGGTCTGTGCTCAGGAGCCCCACATGCAGCAAGACTCAAGGTTTGCCAGTATGTGTGCACCCTTGTTTCAAGCCACAATGTCTCGGGCTACGACAGCAGTGATAGTTTCTTATCAAGCCGAGTGTCTACAATATTGAGACCTATGAAGACATGAATATATTTGATACCCTCCACTCTGGGTGACCACTTGGCAGAAAGTATGACACACTTGTTCTTATTGGTACAGCGGTAGGGAAACTGCTTTGGGAATCCCAGAAAAGTGGTTGGTTTGTCAGAGAGAGAGAGAAAGATGGTTTTGCGCGTGGAAAAAAAAATAGCTTGAGTTAAAATTAGTCTGAATGGAACAGAATCAAGAAATCGTAGCAGTTACAGTAAAATCCAACCAGTCCAAAATTTTATCTTTTGTCTGCACCTACTCATACACCTGGGAAAAAGATTTCTCCCTTGCCTTGTGGCTTCTGTTCATCCACCACCCAGGGGTGAGAATGGCCTTAAATTCAACAATTTAGCTGTGTTACGTATTTCCCTTCTTCCAACACTACAGTGTTGGCGTTGGAAGAAGGGATGGTGCTGTGTTAGTCCCTTCCAACACAAATGGATACAGCTAATTTCATGGCAGGATTGTTTTCTGCCAAAGGAATCCCACTTTAACTCAACAGTAAAAAGTTTTTAGAAAGACTGGATCTAACCAGGTGATGGCCAAAAAATTGCCTCTGTTTGCTTATATGAAATGCATAGAGTAGTCGCTTCAAGAAGCAGCTAAAAAGTGAAATTTCAATCATGGTTGAGACTTACAAGGGAGAAAAGCAGGCCTCTGAAAGATTTTACGTAGGAGTCCCAAACTTGGGGAACCATTCCAATATGAATCATCCTCTGAAAGACAATACCTGTAGTCCTCAACGTATGACCATAACTGAGACCAAAATTCATGTTCTTAAGTGAGAAATTTGTTAAGTGGATTTTGCCCATTTTACAACTTTTCCTGCCATGTTTGTTAAGCAAATCACGGCCGGGGTTAAATTAGTAATCCAGTTGTTATGTGAATCTGGCTTCCTCATTCATTTTGCTCCTCAGAAGGTAACCAAAGAGGATCTCATGACTCTGGGGCACTGCAACTGTCATAAATGTGAGTCAGTTTTCAAGCATCTGGATGTAAATCATGAAGATGCTACCACGGTCGTAAGTGTGAAGTCCCTTTTTTCAGTGTCTTCAAAACTTCAAACAGTCACTAAATGAACTGTTGTAAGTCGAGGACTACCTGTATAAAGACCAATTTTCCTATTCTTAAATAACAGCAACTCTGAATGTTGTCTTCACGCTTCCTGTAGCCCGGCTGCTATATTAAAAATATTAATTAGCCAAACTGGATGGGGTTGTGTAGGGTCTCAATACTTTGGAAAGACAGCTGGAGACAAGGAAGATGAACAGCGATATATTAATAAGCCAGTAAG